TAAGAGGGAGGGGGGGGGGAGGGGTATACAGGAGTGCTTCACTTTCAGTGGTTGTAGAAGCTGGTGACCTTCAGATGTGTTTGTTCTGGATGATGCCTTCCCCCTGTCGACAAACCTGATGAAACATACAAAGAAAGAGTCCAACTGACAAAGGAGCAAAGGATCTTCAATTATCATTTGAGCAGACGCATTGTTGAAAATGCATTTGTGATTCTGGCAAATCGCTTTAGTGTTTTCATGAAACCGTTAGCACTTGAGCAAAAAAAAAAGAAAATATTTTCTATACCAGCCGACCTGACAGATTAATTTAATAAATAATATCATTAATTCTGACTGCTAACTGAATGTTATATATCACACTTGCCTGGTAATTAACACTGGTAGAACCAATTACAATGTTAGTCATATAAAATGTCCCCTCATCCAAGTGAAGTATGAATCAGTTTTGCAAGTACTAAATAACTTATGGGTAGGGAAAAGTGAAAAGTATATACATTATAAAGAATATTAGAATAATTTTTAATAAACCATTATAGAGGCGGGTTGATTTATCCATGCTCAGCCTCCGGCTTTACTTAAATAATGCCACTCGTCCACCATTCATACTTCACTTGGATGAGGAGAAATAATAAAAGTTACACGTCATACATGTAACATTTATGACCTAATTCGTTGTGACTAGAAACCTCATTTTATTTCATTACAGTTCTATTTAAAAATTATTTTTCTGTACTTTTAGGTGGTCTTGAATCCTACTTTTCCTCGATGCTTTAATGCGTGGAAGAATGCAGATGGAAGTTATTGACCATAATAATAACGTTGGAAGACAACAGTTCACCACACTTGCTGGTAAGTAAACTAAAAATTGGGTTGTAATATTTTTTTAGGTATGAGATGTTGTCATTGACACCTACCACTAAATATATAAATCTATTTAATGTCCTAGACCCCTACCACTCTATATAGTTGTTTTAGTTTGAAAATATAGAAATGATACTTTCGAGAACATGTAATCACTGTCATAATTCAAATGTCTCTAATTTATATATTTTTACACTAAAACAATCATATATATATATATATGTTAAATAAGATCAATAACGCCGATAAAGATAGTTAATTTTTACTGCCAATAACAATACAATACACAACAATATGACGTCATGATATTGTCTTTAGGAGATATATTAATATGATGGATTTACACTAATGGAAAAAGACAAATATACATAAAGATCAAACTAATCCGTTTAATTTAGGCTTTAGTTTCTCAATAAAATGTTTTTCCTTG